TAGGAAAGCCAAAACAAAGCAGCATCGCAGCACCCTGCGGAGGAAACCCATTTCAGACACTTATATCAGTGATCTCGTTCTTTCAGTCATGACCAGGCCTGTCGCGATAAACAATAAATCAATTAATCGCACGATAAATTAAACCTATCGACCTCATTTTAATTATCGGCTTTATCGTCTCTTCCTGCCTTTTTTTTTTCTTTCTCTTGATGACACTGAATGAAACTCCGTTGCTCTCCACTGACCCTCCCTTCCTATTAGCTGTGTGAAGCTGACATCCCACCCATGTCAAAAAATTCAGCAAATAGTCTGAGTGGTTAAGTGCTCCGTTTCTGCAGGTTTGTGCCGTTAAAATTTTCGTTTGTGCAGTTTTGGTTTCTGAGATATTAAAATTTAGGTCATCCAGAGTTCACCATCCCCCATATTGCTCCAAAACAAACCAAAGTGGGCTACTTTGTTAGTGCTCCGTTTAAACTTTCATTTGTGCAGCTTTCGTTTAAAAGTTATAATTTTGGCCGATGACGTCACCATCACCCCATCTTGCGCCAAAACAAACCAAAGTGGGCTACTTCGTTAGTGCTTCGTTTGTGCAGTTAAAATTTTCGTTTGTGCAGCTTTCGTTTTCGAGATATTAAAAGTTATAATTTTGGCCGATGACGTCACCGTCACCCCATCTTGCGCCAAAACAAACCAAAGTGGGCTAGTTCGTTAGTGCTCCATTTGTGCAGGTTTGTGCCATTAAAACTGTCGTTTGTGGAGCTTTCGTCTTTGAAATATTAAAAGTTATAATTTTGGCCGATGACATCACCATCACCCCATCTTGCTCCAAAACAAACCAAAATTCTTTGTTTAAATTCTTCAGATTTTCAGCTGATGTACAATGTGTACCTTCTTTTGTTTTGAACTTCAATAAAGATTTAGAACAAGAAGAAAATTGTCTAATTTCAAGAAATGTTTTAAGATAGCAATGTTTTCTCTCGAATATAGCGGTCTCTCCAGAATAATTGACTCCTGCCAATAAAGGACATGCAGCCGTGACCCTAACGTAACGTGTACAACCTGTACAACTGTGCTTTGGTTTCGGAGGTGGTCTGAACAATTATATTCACATTGTTGGCTTACTTTGTGCTGATTATGCAGCAAACGGGTAAAAATATATTTTTTTAAATCCATAGCTAATATCCTAGTTGCTTGAGCAAAGTTTTTGCAGAGTAAACCGGAAGTGCGTCACTGGTTCAACAAAGTTCATCCAAGTAATGTACTTAATATTTAGTAAATATATTTTAAATGCAACAATTTTCATTTCATCCTGTTTGACATTAAATGTGTATGGGCTTCAAGGATTTTTAAAAGCACATACAATTTTTGTGAACTTTGACATAGTTTTTACACAACGTCAACTGGGATTGGCTCCACCCACACTGTAGTGAACCCCCTCCCCCACCCCTGATCTTGTTTTGGCGGCAGAGCAAGTATCATTTCAACCTCTCGTTAAAATTACTCTAGCAATCTCAGAGAAATACTTTTGAATAAATAATTTTTGGAATTTATCCAACCCTCCGATTTTGATTTTTGTACAAGGTAAGTAAATTAATGTTCAGGTTTCACATAAAATATTTACTCAATGTAATCCATCCCCATAAAAGCAGAGAGGATGTATGCATGGCTAGCTCACATATGCATTTATTTAAATTCACAACTTATATTTGAAGTCCAGACTTTTTAAACCTAATGAAAGATAGAGAGGCACTATCTTGCATCCTTTACATTTATATTGGATCATATACACTTAAGCATATGCATAAAGGGCACATCTTCTGAATAAAATTCAAAAATAATTCCAAGGGAAAATTTAAATTTAACAGGTACTTAAATTATCAAGTCACTAGACTAGTAACAATGCATTATTGATTTTTTTTAATTAGCTTAAACGTTAGAAATTAAACTACGAAAGCCAACTTTACTTCTTTCAGTTCAAGACTATTGTAATTGTGCAGACACTGCTAGAATACCAATGTTTTGTGGCTTCTTTGAAATCATGTGGGCAAGATTTTAAGCAATGCTAATCAAAGCCTTTTTATTTTTTAACTAGATGCTTTGACAGCCAGCAGTAGACAGAGAGTCTCTTTTCGCAGTTCTCTGCAACTCAAAAGAGGCTATTCTAGAAAACGGCCATATAGCCACTCCAGCTGCCGCTGTCTGGACAGAGATAAGTCAGCAGTTGGGAAATAAAATGTCTGCAAAAGATCTGTACACATTTGTAAAGCTAAACAGACAAAACATCTGGTCATGCTTGGAAGTTAATCAAGGAAGTGATCCTGAAGGCCCTGTGGACACTGAGTTTGACTCAGACATCACTTCTCCTGAACAATGTTCAGATTTTCAGCTTGAAGTTCCATTTGAAGATTGGATTAAATTTATACCAGAAAAAGTTGAATATAATGACAAGTTTTCATCATCTGGTAAAAGGAATTACACAATTTTAAAACCTGGCACATGGAGTCATATAATTAATGATCTGGTTTGGAAAAAGTTGAAAAGCACTTGTACAATTTGTATTCCAAAGATCAAAAGTTTATCCAACTGTCACTAGTAAGTACATTGATATCATAGGCTTCTGTAAAGAGTGTCAAGGTCATGTTAAAATGACAGAGAGCCAACAGTCAACAGCCCAATGGTGCTCCAGTGTTCCATTGAAGGCGCCGACATCTCCCTGCACACTGGCCAGTCCAAAAGATTCATGTCAGGAACCCTTCGTGCACAGATTTCAGAAGAGTTGTGTGAGGGTAGGATGGAACCATCTGTATGGAGGTCAGCAAAGGCATCAGAGTTGATGGATATAGGAGATCCCGAGCCAAGTCACCTTCCAAACCTGGCAACCTTACGCAAAGTCAAGCAGGAGAGAAAAGATTTGGAGTTAGGCGACAAAGACCCCGTTCTATCTTTGCAGTTATTAAAGTATAGCACACCCAACAGTGGCAGTATAAGAGATATTGGTCTGGATAAATTATTTTGTCACTATTGGAGTCAAACTCAGATACATGTTTAAGGCACTGACCAAAAAATGTCCCTCAGTAGTTTGCTTTGATGCAACTGGTTCAGTTGTCAGAAAACGGGCACGACCAAATGGTACATCTGGCCACATCTTCTTATACCAAGGTGTTCTGAAGGGAGACAACTGCTCAGTCCCAGTCATACAAATGCTATCAGAAAGGCATGACATTAACACTATTGCAACATGGCTGACAGAATGGCTTCGTGCAGGCGCAGCTGTACCAAAAGAAGCTGTGAGTGACTTTTCCCTGGCTATTCTTGGTGCTCTGGTGAAGGCCTTCACTCCTTGTCCTAACCTGAAATCATACATTGATGAATGCTTCCGTGTGCTACTTGGGAACCAGTCTGCAAAACGTCCTCCCTGTTACATCAGGGTTGATGTTGCCCACTGCATAAAGATGGTCTGCCAGTGGGCAAGTCACACCGTGTCAAAGACTTCTTTGTCAGGGGAATAGCAAAGCTTCTTCAGGCACAAAGCTTGGACCATGCAAAGCAGCTAATACATGCCATCACTGTTGTGGCTCTCAGTGAGGCAGAGGGTGATGACAGTTCTGGAAGCCCTCTTGAATCAGAGAGGTGCAAGAAATACCTGAAAGCCCAGATTGCAGAAGACTCCATCATCATTCCAGATGAAGACACAAATGAAATGCATCAAGTGGATCCATATAATGACATCCAGACTGACCTACGAGACTGGGTGTCAAACATTAGTGAGGAGAGCAGGACACGCTGCAGCAAATGGGGATAGAGATAACATCCATTGTGCCACACATTATAAGACTTCCAAGTTACCACTGTGGACAGGAATAATGGTTCCCCTCTTCAAAAGCACCAGTCTCTGTAAAACATGGCCTGTTCAAACATGAGAACTTACCCATTCGAGTTGATCGCTTCATGCGGATTTGCTCTGCCAAAGCAAAAAGAGAGCAGGAGCAAGTTGCATCAGCAGAAGATGCAGAAGTTACAGAAGCTAATCCTGCATCCATAATTACCCACAATGCTGAAGGGGACACAAAAATGGATTCTAGCGATTTAATGGAATCTGATCCCTCCAGAAACTTTCCACAGCAGATGAAAATGTGGTTGAAAACTGGAGAGGACAAATTCTTCCACCCAAAAAGAGGAAGAGGACTTCATACCTGAGTTCCTGCACTGAATGGCTCCATGCAGATTCATCATCTGGGGCCAAAAGAGAGAAAGTGGGACTATTAAAAAATGGAAACATGTGTCAGCCTGTTTAGGTTGGGAAACTGTCTCTCTCTGTGTTAAACACCTGCTCCTGTGGTGCCTTTTGTCATTATGCTGTACTTTCTGTGGCAGCTCTGCATTTCAAAATGTCATGAAGAACAGTGACCACCCTCTCCTGCAGCTGGTGAAACCCATAACTACAGATGGTGGGACCCCAAGGACATACTTGCAGAGGGCAGATCTGCTTAATTCAATGTTTGCAAAAACACAGTTCAGGTCTGGCCCCCACCAAATCGATGCCCACTGCAATATTGCCACAGTTACTGGGAAGACAATGAGAAATGTGTCAAGCGTTTACCTCTCAAAACAATACTGCCACCTAAACAAAGGAATGACCAGGGAAGTACCATTTGTTTTACCAGACATTTCTGTCCTGAAGAACTCTGGCATGGCTCAGCTTGGCATTCAGTAGAAAAAGGACTTTTCCTTCCACAGTCTCCCTGCCTCCAACCACTGGAGAATGAATCAGAACGTCCATCTGAATTAAAAACAGGAGCCAGCACCTCAGGAACTGTTCTCTGTGCAGGAACCGTTACTCACAGCTACAGTATTGGAGAAATAGCATGGATTGACACTGACCTTCCAAATCCAACTGAATTTGCCTTGAGTAAATTTCCCTCCATTATGGTTCTACAAAGAAAAACATTTACTTTGAGAGCAGTCGTCGCTTTCAGAGGAAGCTTGACCAAAGATGGCCTGGGACATTACACTGCATACTGCGGGAGAGCTCCATCTGTTTGGGAGCTTTTTGATGAGCTGGCAAATGTGAAGCCAGTGTCTGAAAAGAAGAAAATACTGCCACATGCAGTGTTATACACAGCAGATCTATGAGGGGGGCAGGAGGGTGAGAAAGTTTGAAGACCAGACCAAAGGCAAAAAGTTTCATGCCATGTTTACAAACCCCTGACCAGAATTTATTTTTTCCTTTTTGCAAGTTATTATGGAAGCCCATTTCCACCATGAAAGAAAAAATAAAAGACCAACAGGAAGTCATAATTTTGACTTTGAAAGTCATAATTTCAAAATTATGACAGAAATTATCTGTCATAATTTTGACTTTCAAAGGCAAAATTATGACTTCAAGTTGGTCTTATTTTTTTCTTTCATGGCAGAAATGGGCTTCCATATTATATGACAAATCGTTCCATATTTTGACTTTCAACAGTTTTGAGCTCTCTGCCTAAATCTCAAATGAAAGGAGTTTTCTACTCAAGACAGGAGAAATTTCAGATTTTCAAGACAGTTTGTTGTTTCAATTGTTAAAGTTCATTGTTCAAATCAACAACATTTCTTATTTGACTGTATAATTAAATTGGATTTTCAAAACAGTCACTTTCATGGTTCATTACTTCTCAATTAGGATAGGAACCCTTTGCCTCACAATACAGATATTTGGGTGTGTCAATAGCAAACCATGAGGCACATGCAACTTCATAAAACAACAAAAATTCTGGCGAGACATTTAAATGCCATAGTAACTCAAATCATACATCCAGATCAAACCGGGTTTATTGTCTGGAGGTATTATGGAAATAATCTGCGGCGCTTATTGAATATTATGTCTATTCAAAAAGAACATAAAGACATGACAGCTGTGATTTCTTTAGATGCCCAAAAGGCTTTTGATCGCGTGTCATGGAAATGCCTTATTCAAGCCTTAGAGGTTTAAATTTGGGCCCAAGTTCATAGATTGGATCCTTACATTATATTCATCCCCACAGGTGGCGGTTAGAGTTAATGGTTTTAGGTCGGCAAGTTTCAAGCTGGAGCGCGGATGCAGGCAAGGCTGCCCTCTGTCACCTCTTTTGTTTGCAATTAGCATTGAACCGTTGGCCCAGCTTCTCAGGGACAGTGATGACATTAAAGGGATTTTGATCAGTACCGAGGAACATAAAATATCTCTTTACGCGGATGATGTCCTCCTGTATCCATCTGATCCTGCTTCATCAATACCGCGTCTGAGAGAAATGATCTCTGTTTACAGTCATTTTTCTGGCTATAAAATAAAAGTTGATAAGACTGAGGCGATGGATATCAGTGGTAATATTCCACTAAGGGTTAAACAGAGTGGCTTTAGGTGGCCAAGAATGGGCATTAGATATCTAGGCATCAACATTCCCCTCTCTCTAATGATTTGTATCATGTTAATTATAGCAAAACTCTGGATATAATTAAAAAAGACCTAGAGCGATGGTCAGCATTGCCTTTATCTCTCCTTGGCCGCGTTGAAACCATTCGGATGAATCTGTTACCCAGATTATTGTATTTGTTCCAAATGGTACCAATTGGTATACCAAAACCCACATTCGTTGAATTGGATAAAATTATATCAAAATTTATATGGCAAGGCAAGCGTCCTCACATAAAATATAAAACACTTCAAAGAAGTAAGACAGAAGGGGGTCTCAATCTTCCTGTTTTAAAATATTATTATTGGGCAGCTCAGTTAAGACCTTTGATTTTGTGGATTCAGCAGGATTCCCAAACAAGATGGCTGAGTATAGAGCAAGCGCGGCGCTCAGTACCATTGAGGGTATTGCTTTTTTTAGATACTCCAGTTAAGGATCTGCCACTGTGGACTAAAGTCACTCTTAACATTTGGAACAAGGTGCGTATCTCGTTCAAGCTTCCAAGAGGCTTATCAATATTAACAAGTATTGGACATATTAAATCCTTTACACCCAATTCCTTGGACAAAAAATTTTCTAAGTGGACTGAAAAGGGGCTCACATTTCTTCATCAATTGATCGACAGAAACAACCTTTTATCTTTTGAAGAGTTACGCAGGAAATTCCATCTCCAGAAAAGTGATTTCTTTAGATATCTACAGTTGCGCTCTTTTTTGTTTGCACATAAAGACTGGGAAAGAGTACTAAATCCCACACCAATAGAAAATCTTCTAATCCATTTCCAGAAAGGGGGAGAGGACAAAAAATTGATAGCTAAGTTATATAGTGTATTTTTGTCGAACATTAACAAACCCTCCTGGACAAAACAAAGATGGGAGGCAGAGATGGCCAAAATAATTTCCGACAAAACATGGGAGGATATCTGCTCTGAGGCTCACCGAGTTACTAACTCAAATACATGGAGGGAATTTAAATGGAAAATTATTAGCAGATATTTCAGGACCCCTGATGTAGTTGCTAAAATGGATCCTAAGGTACCAAGCTTGTGTTGGAGAAATTGTGCCTCAATGATTCCCAACCACACACATGTTTTTTGGTCGTGCCCCAAACTCAAAAACTTTTGGGATGAGGTGTATAGAGCTATAAACCATATTTTTTCTGGGGTTATCCCAAGGGATGTTACTGTTGCCTTACTCTGTATTATTCCTGATGGTTTACAAGGGCGGGCCAAAATGTATTTGTTAAATGTTCTTTTTACAGCAGCCCTGAAATGCAATACAATTACGTGCATGCAATTGGAGCCGCCTTCTTACGACTTATGGGTTCAAAAAGTAAGGGAATTGCATACAATGGAAAAGATAACCTACTCACTAAGACTTCAAAAATCTAAGTATGGCCTGCGCTGGGGACCTGCAGAAGCCCTGTTGGTTTAGTTAAACCTAATGGATTTGTCTTTTGGCCTATGTCGATTGGTTTCTCTTCCAGAGCTCATTCTTATTTAAATGGTGTACAATGATGAGTCCATAAACATGATGCTGTGGCTGGAAGTTGCTTTTCCAACATGGCTATTGTATGGAAAACTTCATATTGTCAACATTTGTATTATGTACCACTGAAGTATGGTTGTACTTTGCTCTGCTGAAAAATTAAAATAAAAATCTAAGTTCAAAAAAAAAAAAAGAAGGTGTCACTGCTCTGCTTAACCAAGTAGGGTGATAATTAGGTGCTATTTATTATTATTTGCAGTAACCTCTCAATTCTTCTAGACCTGGAAATGATAAAATAAAAAAAATCCATATTTTTATAGACGTCTTAAGCCAGAGAAGGAGCTCTAATTTTATCATACACATTTAGAAAACATCTTTGGTTCTTTAAAGTGTAAGTCCCAAATTTTCATACACTTGTCTTCAGAAAAAAATTATGCAAACACCCAATCTGAATTGAATCTGAATGGAAGATAGTTTTACATACTAGCATCTTCTGTTCTGGTCTTGGCCGAAGCTGGACTCGGCTCTCCGAGGCCCACGACATTCTGGGCCACCACTCTGAACTCGTACTCCACCCAGGCATTCAGACCGACCACGGTGGCGGTTAGCATGTTGCCATTGACAACTTCCGGGACTGAAAAAAAAAAAATTTTTTTGGGAAAAAAAAAAAAAAAAAAAAAACACAATTATCTTGTTTACCTGTGTCTATGACCTGCCAGCCCACAGTGAATGGTGTGCGAGCCTGAACGATGTAGCCCGTTATGGGGCTGCCGTTGTCTCTTCCAGGCGTCCAGGACAGCTGGGCTGTGCTGTCCGTGATTTCCTCAACTGAGACTTTGTCCGGAGGGCCTGGGGGACCTGGAGACATCAGACATGGAATAAGAAAAGGTGATCACCCATTTCAAGAAGCCTAAAAAAATGAGCTATTTATATATCTGTGGTAGAAATTTGTTCCAGTATTGCTGCAAGAAAAGAGCACCTTTCAAAACTTCAAATTTGAAGAAAAAAAAGCATTTCAAAAATGAGACTTTGAAAAATTCTTCATGAAAAACTAAGTTTTGACAGAATTTAAAATGTCATTTTTTGCTGTTTGCTTTTTTTTTTCCAGATTTTCTTTTTGCTTCTTTTTGTCCGTATTTTTGAGTTTTACAAATTGTATTATTTGCAAATCATGTTGTACAAGCCTAGCCCTAACCCTGTAAAAAACATCAGGCGCAGATAACTTCTCTTTCAAAAATTAAAATTTGAAAAAGGAAAAATGCATTTCAAAAATGTAACTGAAAAACGTCTCATGTTTTGATGATAATTTACAATATGTATGCAAAATTTTAACCTAAATTTATGTATGTTATTTAAAACTATGTATATTTTTTCAGACTTGTTTTCTGTATTTATTTAAAACTTCTTTTTCTTTTTTTTTACTTTTGTCAAAAAGTTTTGAGACCGAGTTTTATGAATCGCAGATTCTGTTCCCCATTTCGAACACTTCCTCTGAAAGGACAAGTAAAAAAAAAAAAAACAAAAAAAAAAACACATTTCACAAATTGAAATTTTAAGGGACAACAGAAATTAGAAAGCATTTCTTCTGATCCTGGTTTTCCAAAAAATAATTGGAAAACACAAAATTTGAAAAAATTAATTCTGAAAAAAATAGCCAACTGCATAAATGTAAATTTGACTATTGAATGTATATTATAAATTACTGTAAAAATATATTTTTTGACAAGTTTTTAAAATTTTAATTATTTAAACATGTCCAATTATTACAATATTGAACCAAATTTCTCACCATACATATTTAGGCTTTTATTTTCACTTTAATTAAGACCCAAATCTGGTGTGTGTTGATGCTGTGTGTGTTTTATGTGAACTAAATGTTGTACTGACAAATTGGGTGGGCTGTTTTTTCAAAACTGAGGATACTCTGCTGACCGTGTGTAATTCTTCTCCATGGTACTCTGCTTTTCAAATGTTCTCCATAACATTTTCCGATGTGCAAATGAGCCACTTATGGTCATTTTCTGTGATAAACACCATCTCCTCAAAGCACCTGGCGCAGCTATAAAGGTTTATTAAGAACAAGTCTGTCAGTGAGATAGTCTGGGCTCAGCCTGTTCACTGTGCTTAATGCAGCAAGCAGAAAACAAATGTACTGCAGCACAACTCAACCCAGGGCTACCCATGCCACCGTCAGTCAATTTTAACATTTCAGCAATATTTATATGATATTAATTGAAGCTGACAGAAGTTGGGCTCCGGCGACATCCATCTTTTTTATTTTTTTACTTTCCTACACAGTTTCCCCCCCCCCCCATGGAGAGCCTGGGGGATTTTTCTCACCAATCTGTCAGACGTCTTTCACTTTGGAAGGACTTCTACCTCTAAGTAAACACACAAGGTTATTCTTGAATTGGCGTGTGCAAACAAGCCGCTAGAATCAGCCGGGGTTACCTTTGACAACCAGGATGGCAGAGGTAGACAGGCTCTCCACATCCGTGTCGACGACGCACACGTACTTCCCTCCGTGGCTCAGCTGGATGTTGCGGATCATCAGGTCCCCTGATACAGTCTGGAGGAGGGGAAAGAAAACCAGGCTAAGTGGGAGACGCAGTGTTATTTTGTCAGCGGACTTTTGGCACAATGTTTTAGAATTAAAAAAAAAACAAAGTCGTCATGCCACAGTGTTTTTCTTTTATCCACCTCTATCCAAACAACAACATGGCAGATGCAGTCTGCACAAATAAAGCTATTGGCTGTCCTTCAGGCGATAACCGACCTGCAAACAGCTACCAGCTCCACACAGGGCACACCGAACAAACACATTCTAGCTAATTGGCAATCATTATTCTCTGATAACAGAAACTCAAGCATTATATGGATGTAAATCTCAGTGTAAAGAGCAAATATTATACATGAGCTGCCAGAATATGGTGACCATGTAGGAAAACACACTGACAACAGATGTTTTCTAGTATAACCAAGAACAAGAGAAGGAGATTCACCTAATAGGTTTGGCCTGCTTTCTACAAAAGAGGAATAGAGCCACTGAAAAAATAAAAGAATTCTGACTTTAACCTTGTAAGATCAAAAGTCAGAATTCTGAGAATTTGGAGCAGCTAGCTCTGCTAACAGGGCTAGTCATCTTCAGGCTCAGCCAACGGGTGCAATGTGTTTTATCCACTGACTGCGGCCTGACCTCAGCAAGTCACTCCATCCTTATGAAGTTATTAGTATCTTCTAAACTTTACCACATTGTTTTCTACCAATAGCAATTAATTACATTCCCTACCTTGGAATTTTTTAGTATACAAATTTATAGTAATGTTTACATGTTTAGGCTTTTACTTTGTATTATTTTAATTAGACTGCTTTTTATTGACATAATGTGTTAAAATGTGTTGACTGCTTCGTGTGACTGAGGTCGTCTGCTTCTGGCAGTTGTGACAGAAGGTTCCTGTTTTTATCTGAAAGTTCTTGTTTTTACTCACATGCACACGTTACAGTCTGCAAGTAGAAAAATCGGCAGCATTCGGTTGCTGATACACAGCAGTCAACACATAGGAACTGACTTGACAGAAAAACGGCCTTTTAGGGCGTAGCTTAGCTTAGTAAATTGAGGAAATTATTCAAATTTTGCCATTTCCATCAACCTTTTTGAATGCAATACTTAAAATACACATGAATAAACACTGATGTAAATATATACAACCCCTAACTTAAATAAAACAGTACTTTTTGTAGATTAGAATAGAATGAGTTGTTTGTTTGCTGATGATCATATGAACAATTGAATCTCTAAATGCAACGTGTGTAAATTGAACAGAGCCAGTGTCTGCTGCAATGACAGAAGATGCCATCGTTGATCCAGGGAATGTTATCCGTAGGGTATTTGGACAGCTGGCTCCGACTTCTATAAGAAATCAGATATATCAGGCTCAGGGCACAGAAGTAATATTTCTGATGGCTCCATAACACAGACAGACATATCTAAGATCATAATTTGAAAATAGATGTTTTACATTCCTCGGCCAACATTAGGCATTATAGTGTATGAAAGAATCAAAAGCAAACCACGGAGCCATTTGGCATGCAATAACATTGTCTAAAACTCGGGCGATGCGCCATCTCTAGGCATGTTTGTATCAGAGTGCCATCAAGATATTTTTAGACCCACCTTGCGGTGAGTCGCATGCATCACATGCTCTCGACCTGTTAAAATAATGTTGATGCAGTCTGAAAAGGACCCTTTGGCAGGGATGAGTCCATTTACGCTAAAAAAGTCAAACAGAATGACATTTGTTTCGAGGCTAAATTTAAAAAAAGAAAAGTTAGACATAATCTCACGGGGACAGATTTTATCCGGACAATTTCATTGTGTCCTTGTTGTGACTGGTAATGGTATCCGCCCTCTGAAAGTCACCTCCTGTTACAAAGTATGTCAGCTTGTGGGAAAAAAAGAGGTATGATGCTTTAGAAGCCAGTCACCTGGGGCCAAACCAGGCAAGACTCGCCGCAGTCGCAGCAGATTTCATCAAGCCTGGTGGCTTAGTCATTGTACCTCCACTCTGCCACGACAGTGAAAGGGAGGAAGGTGGATCGCCGTTTCTCTGAGGGATTCCAGAAAAAGAGAGCAAAGCAGGCAATGAGAGGAAAATTCTACCTCTACTTCCCTTTTTCTCCTTCAGCACTCTTTTTCCATCTCCTTTGCCTAAACCCGACAGCTTTTATGCACAGAGTGTCAGCCGCCACCTGGACAAGCCGGGAGCTAGGAATGACTTGCGAGGCCTCTTGTCTTAGCGGGATAGGAAGTGATGGGGGCAGGTTTTTTTTTAATTATGGTAATTAATTCATCAGAAGCTTTTAAGCGGTGTTCTGGTAATCTCTGTGGACAGATTCTGGGTGAAACTATATCTCATTAAATGCCATTGCACTGCTCAATGTCACCAGTAATTGCCATTTGCGATAATGAAAACGTGCGGCTTGGCATTCCGCAACACCGTCCGGGTTGCGGAATGCCACATTCCCTGTGGACTTAAATACACAGAGAGAGTAATCACAGGAACACCAAAAGGTCATGTGCCAACCTTTTGGCACATGACTGGCGCTAATTGATATATTGCAATGCATAAAGCAAAATGAGAGAGCGTGAACGAGTAATTATTTATGTAACAACAAGCGCCGAACAATTAACTCTGCCCTTCTTCAAAGGGAACAAACATCGACGAAAAAGTCATTATTTTGAAGCTATAAAGATTTCAAATGAACACTTTACTAGTGTCAGGCTTGCCCTTGGTGAAAAGCAAGGCAGTTCATTACTTAATTATTTCTGGGCTCACGATTCATAAATAAGTATGCAAATTCAATTATGGCAGAGGGAGATAAGAAAATGTTCTCCCTTGACATTCAGGAATTAGAAGTTGAAAGGATGAAAAAGTAGAAAGACTTTATTAATCAGGACTTTATCAATACTGGAAAATGAAAAACAGCATTTTCCAGTATTTTTAGAAGTGTTAGAAGATGTGGAAACTCACATGGCAGGTAAGAATTATGGATATAGACCTCATGGTGACTTCATCTGGTAAATACAACAAATAGACTGGTGACTGAAATTGAATGATTGTACATCTTAGGGCCACACAGGGCCACACTAAAACCTGATTTACAGGTCACACTCAGAGAGACTCTACAGTCTGGAAGATGTTTCTGTGGACCAAAGATTCAGTTAGCCATTAGCCATCTGAATCAGTAGAGGTGTTTCCATTGCAAATATGCTCAACATTTTCTCAATATTAGCTAATATAAAAAAACAACACATTTCCACAAGTGCAGAGATTCCATTAAATAATTGAAATTAAAATATCACGAGTCATTAAAACCATGCTACAGCATCATCCTTCAACTACTTCCTGCACTGCTACTGTTGTGCTTACGGAAAAAAATCAAAGCTCTTTAGTTTGCTATGACTGCAAAGCTGTGTAATGCCAACTGCTCTCTGTATCTCCACCCAAGACACAGTTAAAAATAAAATAAAGTTAAGTTCATTAGTATAACACATTTCAGCAACATCATACCATAAAACACAATAACCAATTATGAAACAAGAATTCAAAATTACATTTTGTCAAATTATCAAGAAAATGTGCATTAATTATGTTGTTGATGTTCCAGTTATTATGAAACAAAGGCAGCTCTAACAGGTGGGTTTTTAGTCTTGATTTACAAGAGATCAGTGTTTCAGGTGTTCTGCAGTTTTCTGGTAGTGCAGCACAAAAACTGAATGCTGCTTAAACAAAACAAAAAAATAATATATTCAACATTTTATCACCTTTTTGGTAATGTCCTTACCACAAAGCCATTTGAAGAGGGTTTGAGGTGAGGAAGTACCTCAAACCAAGGATGTAGATGATGAAGAAAGTTTAATCCAAACACTGTCCAACAGTGACAGCATAGGGAACAAACAGACGACGTAGCACGATATTTGACGAGGGCCCGACAAGGAACAAAGGACACAGGTGGACTTAAATACAAAGGGAGGGTAATCACAGGAACGAGACACACCTGGGAACAATCAGGACAGGACGGCACAGAGACTCACAGGGGAACAGCACTAAATAAACACAGAAAAAACCTCAAAATAAATACACAGAAAACAGATCACCACAGTACCTTCCCCCTCAAGGGCGGCTACCAGACTCCCCAAAAACAAAAACAAAAAACACAACAAGGGTTGGTAGAGGGGCGCTGGTCGGGGGGCCAGAGTCCAGAAAAACTCAAAGAAAAACAACCCAACTGGGTGGGTGGAGGGCAAGAGTCCACAGGGACAAAACAGAAGAAACTCAGTCCAAACAAAAAGAAAAAAACAGCACGGCCAAGGCAGGACCTGCCATGGATGATCCGGGGGCCAGCCATGGCACAGCAGGAGGATACCTCGTGGGAGGTCTGGGGGCCGTCACGGCGCAGCAGGTGAACCCACCCGTAGAGGTGGGTCCGGTGGGCGGCAAAGTCAGAGGAGGAACTGAAGCTCTGGGGGGCTGTGACACCAGGACCTTTTGGGGCCAACAGGAGACGGGTGGTGGAGCGGGCTCGGGAAACTCTGGAGCGGGCTCGGGAAACTGCGGCAGCAGGGATAGATGCTGTCTCGGTGCTGGGACTGACGCCAGCGGTAGAGGTGCGCGCCGCCTCGGAGCAGGGACAGGCAGCGGCTGAGGTGCGTGCTGCCTCGGCGCAGGGACGGCACAGGGAACAAACAGACGATGTAACACGATATTTGATATCTGTGTCGGGTCCTCGATATTTGACGAGGACCCAACACAGGTAGACTTAAATACACAGGGAGGGTAATCATGGGAACGAGACACACTTGGGAACAATCAGGACAGGATGGCACAGAGACTCACAGGGGAACAGCACTAAATAAACACAGAAAAATCTTAAAATAAATACACAGAAAACAGATCACCACCGGTAAAACCTTTGAGTTGGTCTTTAAGCTAAAATAATACATTGGACACAGTATTTTTTCTTTTTTTTTTTTTGAATGAAACTTGTAGAACAAAAATGTGTTATGTGAGAAGCCTCCTATATCTTTAAATAAACAAAAAAAGTTTGACCTTTTTTGTCAAACTTTTTTTGACTAAAAAGACAGGAGGCATATAAAATACCTCTACTCATTTTATAGGAGTAGATGTAAGTTAGGAGTTCTTTTAGTGTTTTTTTATTATGTAGATGTATTTATAGGCCCTATTATGGAAGAAATTAGAGTTGGTAATGATTTTCAACAGGTGGGAGATTTAGAAAATTTGCAGGTGGTAACTGACAACAAAATCTCTCACCAACCTCCATTTATTGAGATTTTGTCATATTTTAATGACTGTTATAAAACATAAACATACAGTCCTTGATGTGCAGTCCACCACTGACCACTGAGAAGCTTTATAAAAGAGTTTCTCTTGGCATAACTTTCCCTCGTTGGGTATTATTTGGTGCCTAAGAGGTCCTTACCCACACAGTGGAGTGAACCGTTGCCCAATTAAACCCCAAGCAGGCAGAAAAGTAACAAAGTGTAAACGCCTTGGGAACGACTTACCCCACCCACTCTTTCGAAGTGGTCACCGTTTCTCTGGAAGTCAATGAGCTGGCCGTTAAACGCCCATGAGAAGGAGACGTCCAGAGCTGGATCAGAAGCAATCTGGCAGGGTAGCACGATGCTCTCGCCAACAATAATCTCCATGTTAGTGGGCCTCATGGTGATTCTGGTGGGCTCTGGCCAGACAAACGGATGACAGCGCATGCATGTTAACACCCCGCCACCATCTCACCGCAATTCACTACAAACCCAATTGGCCACCGTTAAACAGACGGCGGACAGTCGCCTAAACAAACGTGATTTCTTGCTGCTGTTGGACTTTGTATTTACCGTTTCTAGCAATAGACATGCGGAGAGCAGAGTGAGTTCCCAGCTGTGGCAGATTGGAGACCTCAGAGTACTTTGAGGAAAGGTCACAGTAATTAAATCCTGTGACGTCAAATTGTTCAGCAGTTAGTGGAGGAAAAGAATGAGAAGCTAATGAGAATAAATTTGATGGTTACGGTTAGGCCAGCAGGGTTACATAAATATGTTATGCCACTGCTCTTAGATAATGACCTTTAACTACACCAAGGATGGTGTTTGTTACTACTTAACTGATATTTTAGGGAATGTGTAATTAGGCCTGTTGCGACAAACGATAAATCAATTAATCGCATGATAAATTAAACCTATTGACCTTGTTTTAATTATCGGCTTTATCG